CAAAGCAAATTAGTGAATAAAAACTTTAACAATAGAACTGTGTTTTCTAATGTTGTAAATTGTAATCATTTGAGGCGAGTATATAAATACATATGTTTTGCTTTTTTGGTAGGACTAACAATGATCAGTTTTGTTAATCATGTTTGATGTGTAGCTTAATTATTCTCTACAGAATTGGCTGTAGATCAGTGTCATCATTGTGGAACTTTAAATGTTTGGACCTAACTGCCCCCATTATAGTCGAATATTATATATTCTCTCGTGCATGTAATAATTCAAATGTTTCAAAATTTATTATGCTTGAAAGAAAATATTCATAGGCATCGGAATAATGAGCAACAAAGAAGCCTAGTGGTGAAAAAGAAGATATATAATTCGAATTTGACGTTTCACACCACAATTAAATATGTTTGATTCTTGATCTATGTTATAAACGCATCAGTTGCTATATGAATAATACTGTTTCTGTTATAATGTATGCATCATTATTGAGATTCTAGCTAGTATGATCATGTTCAGAAAAAATAAGTAATGGTTTCTGGGAATCTATGTTTTATTTTAATAAAAACAAATAGATGGTGTAGAAATTAAATTAAGCTTCTTGTAAAATTAAAGTAAGGAAGGACCAAGTTGGCTCATGCGATATATCCTCCCATGTGGAACCGACGTGGCGCACACATGCCGAAGCCCATGACAGCAAAGCACACGTGTGGTCTTGTCCACCCACACGTGCATTTCTTTCTGGTCAAATATTCCTCTAATAAGCTCTTCGTTGTCCACAGTCAACGGTCAAACATTATGAGTACAAAATGGTAAATGTAAACTCTCTCTCGATCTCGACCAAGGTGGAGTGGAGATATGGCTTTGGACTTTGGTTACAAGGATTTGGTAATATAGGAGAGTATTTGGGTTTCTTTATATCGATGCATGTTTGGTATGTGACTGAATAAGGACCCTAGCTATTTGAAATTTTGAATACACCGGTTATTTACAAAAACCTCGACGAGGTTGATATATATTGTAATTTGTAAACCCCTACAAATTTTTCCTTATATTAGCAATGTCACCTTAAAAAAAATTGGGTAGAAAGACTCAATTAGGTTTCAAAATTACATCCATGCAAACCCCGCAGAACATATTTTACTCTTGTGACACTAAGAGCATCCGCATCCATGATACAACATGAATATCATTAAATATAAAATTATTAAAATTTGAGTAAAAAAAAGAAAGAGAGTGTTTTTGATTGAAATAATGGGGTGTATTGAAATATAAAATTAATAAAATTGGAGTAAAAAGAAGAGATAGTGGATATTTTTGGAGAGAGAATATCAAATAGTTGATATTTTTAATATTTTTGAAGAGAGAAAGAGTGTGTTTTTAATAATTTTATATTTAAAGAGAGT